GTGAATAAGACATAGAACCAAATAACAGAAAAATATAATCCAGTGAAGATACAGATGATTTTTTAACGTAACAAACATGTTAATTTGAAACTTACGTATGTTTAAAGCTAAGTGTTTTTAACTGTATGAAATCAACATAAACAATTGTTTAAAAGTTGGGACAATGGAAGATTCTTTTTTTTTCCAGAGAGGGATATTTTACCATTGATGTCATTTAGAATTGGCAGAACATGGTGATTGTGTTAGTCAGCTTTCCATTACTGAAACAATTACCTGATACAATCACTTACTTTGATTCAAACTTTTGAAGTTTTAGTCCGTGATTGGTTAAACATATTACTTTTAGGCTTCTGGTATGGAGGCAGCATGGTGCGAATGCAGGGCAGAGATAAACTGCTCATCTCATGGCTAAGAAGTAAGACAGGAAGAAGAGCCTGGGTCCCACTATCCTCCTTGAGGGCATATTTCCAATGACCTGGAGAGTCCCACTAAGCTTTCCCTCTGGGGGTTCATCACCACACAGTAGGGACACACTGGAATCCAAGTCTTTAACACACGGGACTTTGTGGGAAAGTTCAGGTCCACACTTGAGCAGTGATGAAAAGAAATCAGTATTTTATTTGGCTTAGTGCACCCTCTGATTTGGGTCTAAAAGAAAAGGGTCAACGTCTGGAATTAGTAATTTGAAATGTGCCTTCCTTCCTGTATTCTATGCTTTCATTCGCTCATGCAACAAGTTTGCATTGGCCTGTGCTGTATGCATTAGGCACTGGGAGTAAAATGGTGACTAAGATATGGAACCAAACCCCAAGGGATTTACAATGTAGTGGGACGTACAGATAAGCAATAGGGGAAAATATGGGAACTGAGTGCAAAGGACACCTAACTTGGTCAGGAAGTGTTCCCCAGAGTGTATGGCAGTGAAGCTGAGGCTCAGTTGTCTCCATGCTGAGCACCGCACCCGGCTGACACTGCTGACCTCAGTCACTTCCCCTACTTTCTGCCTTTACCAGGGTCTCACTTGGGCTCCCGAACACCACCCTCCTGCTCTTTCCTATATGGCCTGGCACCTTGTCCCTCTTCATCATGTTTTAGGCTTCTGACATTCACTCTCTGGCCTTTCCTTTCATTCTCTGGGTGCTCAGAATGTTATTTTCTCAGTTCTGGCAGCACCAGGGTTGTATCCCTTCCCATTATTTCTCTTCCCATTGTGACCAGGAAGAACCTCCGGATTGAGCCCAGTGTTCCCCAAGTGGTCAGAGCAGACATCAGAATTTCATGTTGTTAGTATATATTTTATCTAATATCTGTGTATTTGTTCTCAAGATATTGTTATATTGCACCCTAGAAAATGGATACACTTCCCAAAAGAATGGGGATTATAAAAATCCTTGTAGTATTTAAGTGTTATATTTTTACCTAGTTTATTAAGATGTCTTATTCTCAGTTTGGAAAAAATAGAGGAGAAAATAGGCATTAGACATGATCCTTTTTGCAAAGCTGTGACATATGGTTCATAATTACAGAGATGGTTTGTACCACAATCATAAACATTTCCAATGTGCTTTCAGAGATGCATCTGGCTGTGGCTGAGGATTGAAGACAGCGTTTGTGTTCTTGTCTTCCAACTTTTTATTTACTACCTCCTCAGAGTTCCATGCAGAAGTTTATAGTGACTCCTTTCATCTTCTCCCTATATATTTCATCAAACTTTTCATTCTGGGCCACAGTGAAGTGGTTTTTCCAATCCCCCACAGTTCCTAGAAGATGGAAACCAGATAGGAGCTGTCATTCTCTTATGGACAGACTGAGTAGATCCACGTTACTCAGTGGAGCACCCACATTAGGCTTGGCTGTCAGTAGCCCGACTCACCCAGTTACCCCTCAATGAACTCCGTTCCCGCTGCAGCTACCTGCTATGGGAAGCAGCCCTCTGAGGCTCAGTGCAGGAGGATGGGCTTCTAAATCTAATCATGACTGGTGCCAGGAGCTGGTGACCCAGAATGACCCAGCCCACCTATGGTAGAGTCACACAGTGGCACTACACAGACATCGAAACAAATGCACTATGGAAATACACCACATGGAGAAATCTCTAGATGTTATGTTGACCAAAGGCCCCAGACATAAAAAAGTGTACTGTGTGATTCCATATGTATGACATCAAGAATAAGTAAAACCAATCTACAGGATAGAGATCAGAATAGCACTTGTCTCTGCAGGTACATATTGATAAAAACAGGATAGGAGAGGGTCCCTTCTGGAGTTATGAAAATGATATCTTGATTGGGGTGCTGGTTGTATGGCTACATATATTTAAAAAGTATGTTAAACTGTATGCTTAAGATCTGAGCATTTTTGTATTTAGATTATATATCAACATAAAAGAATTTGAAAATAGTTAGAAGGAGATACTATTTTTCACTAAGCAGTGATTAAAATAATTTCATATTAGAAAATGTTCTTTGTTCCACCAATGTCTCTTCTGAAAAATTATGTGACAGAAAAGTATCAGGAAATAACGACTATGCCCCAAATTTTTCATTGTAACATTATTCATAAAGATGAAAACTGAAGGCAATGATAACTTCCCTATCACTAGAAAAACAGATGGGTGAATTAGGAAAGTTTATTATGCCACTTTGATATTACAGAGGACTTCTAAAAGCAGTGAGGGGCTTGGATCTATATGCGTTTCCCTGAAGAGATGTTTCACATTCTGGTGGGCAAATTTGTATAGGATAAGTACATATGGTATACATATCTCTGTGTTTGTATGAGACAAAAGGAAGAGTGTGTATAGAAAGGTAGGCATGTAAGGGCCTAAAGAAGGGCTATTTGCAAAATCACCATCAGCTATTTGAAAAGAAATGGAATCATTTGATTTGTTTCAGAAGCATTGAGTACTCTTTTAGATGGAAAGGGCAATGAAATAATTTCAGCAGAAACTATAATGTACGTTAAAGTTACAATGGGCAGAGAGAGAGGAAATGGGCCATGACGGAAGATATGCCTAATGCTGACAGTAGCTGAGCCTTTTAAGTGGTGGATTCATAGAGCAAAGAGTTGTGACCTCCTGCTGCTTGGGTCCCAGATCATTAGGAAGGTCCAGGAGTCTCTGTGAATTCTGGATCAATAGTTGCTCCTGCCTTTATTCATTTACGAGGTTGCATTTCCTTTGCTATTTGCAGAGCTTTGTCTACTACACCAGGTTCAAGTGCCTAGCCTTATTAGAACCAGGTATCATGAATAGCCAGTACATGGCTTTGGAATTAGTGAAACCCAGTATCACCTTGGCAATGTTACCAGGCAGGCTCAGCATTTGTGACAAGGCCCCACAAACCTTTTCTCATGAAGGGGGAAATGGACTGGTCCAGGATGGATTTGGGAACTGTAGAACGATTTGTCATGGGATTCTCCTTCATTTTCTCAAATGATGTCTCTTGGACAATTTTATCCAGCACCGTTTCATCCAAGCTCTTTCCCATGAACTGTGCCACTTTCTGAATCTCATGTTTTGGGTCCTGTGGTGAGGGTGACATTGAATGGGATGGATGAGTTTCAGGAAGCCGTGATTCTTTCTCAGAAGTACGCCCTGAACAGCTTCGAGTTTCTCTGGCCCTGGGTCGAAATGGCTCTGTACTCACCTTCTTTATGTCCTCGTAGAAGAGGAAGAGAACCTGGTGTGTGTCTTTCTTCTGCCACCATCCTTTCACATGGTCAAACCAGGAGCCCCAACCCACTGTAACAGACACAAAGAGCAGTCTACAGAGACATGGTACAGAACCTTCTGAGGGTCAGGGTTTTTGTTGATTTGAAGTGTAAAGGGGACAGACTCTGCATCAGATACCTCCTAAGAGTCCCGATCTGTTTGATTTTGATGGTCATGTGGACTGGGTCGGGCTTGGGGTTATTTGTCCAAACATGCTGCCCAAAGTGTCTTCCTGTTGAGGATGCACATGGTACCCTCACTGAGATGGCAATCCCTCTGGAATGAGGGTGCCTCAACAGAACCTGTGGCCCAGAACACCGACTTTCTAATCAGGTGGGAGCTATTTACTGAGGGCTGTGGGTCTATAGTGGAGAAGCAGCCAAGCTGCTCTGCCTGGTCCCCATCCGGGGCAGGACTCACCTAAAGAGGCAAAGTTCTAGAGAATCAAATGTCACGTCTGATTCTCTTGAACCCGTCTCACTGGAATGGGAGACAGGTACACGCAGCATTTTCTTTTACCTTTTCCATCAATGAAGGTTTCAAAATACTCTTCCCAGGTTCCAGGGTCGGGTAGCACTTGATTCATCCTCTGGAAATGGTAGTAGGAAACCATACAGTCTTTGGCATTTCGAGCTACATAAAGGAACTTTAGGGTAAGGAGACAGATGGTGAAAAATGGTATAGAAATGGATTTTCACAAAGTCCACCTGGGTTGAGTCTTCCTGAGGCTGTCTACACACACCTGTTTAGCACTTCGGAGCTGGCAGTGTGGCTTTGTAACCTCTCACCACTCTCCGTGTATCTTTGCCAATTATACTGTTTCCAACCTGGTCCTATTAAGTCTTTAATGAGCTAACCTGATCCCCACTGGTGGCAGGGGGCTAAACCCTCCTTTAGAAAGGATGACCTGTCGTGTGACTAAAAAATGCCACATGCATGTGGATGAGCCTCGGACAAACTCATCTTGGTTTCCTGGTGAAACAGGGTAGCTTCGTGGTTAGGGTCTGGACTGTGGAACAAGACAAGAGTCACTGTCTTCCTTCCGGCCTCTCCAACTTTATTATTTCTATCTCTTCAGCTCTGCCCCTACAAAGCGTCCCTTTATGTGTCACTTTGACCTCAAATTCAAACCTTCCTCTTCACAACTTTCATCTCATTATTATAAAATGAGAGAGGTAGGTAAATTCACATTGATTGTATCAGCCCCAAGTGCCTCCCAACTATCCACCCAGGACCCATGAACAGTTATTTCAGTGCTGTGCTGATTTCCACCGTGAAACAGTGGTTCATAATCAGGGGTGATATTTCCACCAGAGACATTCATCAATCACCAGAGACATTCATCAATCACCAGAGACATTTTCAGTTGTGACACTGGCACAGTGATGCTGGCATCTAGTGAGTAAAGGTCAGGAGTGCTGAACATCACTCTACCACACACAGGAGGCAAAACTAAGATTTCAT